GTTGGAGAAAGGCTTCACGGTAGGATCAGAGCTGAGAACCACACATGTGTACCCTACACTTTCTTTGACATCACATCTGCTTGTACTGCTCAAGTTGAAGGGAACTTTTTGAAGTTGAAGTCATGCGGTTACTACAAAATTTGTATGAGGTTGAACCACTTTAGAAATCGCAGAGCAGTTGTTTTTGAGGCTTCACACAACAAAAAAGGGACCTACATTAAACATTTAGGGCATAGCCACTCTACGCACAGTTCTTCCATGTTCAAAACTTTAAAAAAAACAACAACAACAAAACAACAATAACAACAACAACCTACGAGTAACACAGAGAACGGACAGGCGTCTGTGGTGTAACTGTTTGGCACTTCGCCGTCGCACGCAAAAGACGTGAGTTCGATTCCTGTGTGGGCAGTTCTCTTTTATTTTTAATTAAATATTTTCTTCTGTCTGCAAGGTACACTAAAGCCCTCTCAGCTCGTGTTGGCCTTGCCTTAGCAGATAGAATTGAAGCCACCTAAATAACCGAATATTGTGTTGATTGGGGAGTAAAACTTGTACAGTTTTAAATTTAAAGATTTAAAGAGAATGGAATTTGAAAAAAACACTCATAAGCAGTTCATGAATTTAAAAAAAATTATTGTGCTTATCAATCTAGCAATGCGTTAGGATTTCGTTTTCGATTTGAAGACAAGAAACGACAGTTGATGTAGTAGCTGTGGTGGATGAAGTAATTCGGTCTAAGAAACGTCAGCAATCTGAAAAGTGAGCCAACGTTTCTGATGACTCCACAAGACATTTCAAAGCAACACAAACGAACAAAGGAAAGCAAACAAAACTAACACCACTTTTGTTGATCATTGTAGGGAAACTTGATTTAAAAATCAAGGTGACGCAAAACGTACAATATCCCACCAATTCAAACAATTTTACAAATACGCCTTTACTTTGCTGGTCGCCGCTATGCAGCACTCTGGCATTAAAGCGTGGCTATCATGTTTCGCTCAAAAACAACACAGGTTAATGAGAAGCTATATTACAATCATCAGTATCATCATCATCATCATCATCATCATCATCATCATCATCATCATCATCATCATCATCATCATCATCAAGGACCAGATCTGAAACAGACATCGGTGATCATTATTCTCTGTTCATTTCTTCGCTCGGATGCTCTCAAAACCCATTGTTAATGTGTTTTTCCGTCACCCATATGTTTAGCTTTTTCAAGTAAGTTTCTCTGGTCTTCCACGGCCCCGTTTGCCTTCTATTTTCCCCAGTAAGAGCAAGATTTTCACAGTTTTTCCTTCGAGTTAGGTGTCTTTGAAACTATTTTTATCGATTCTTAATAAACGATCATATTGCCTGCACTTCACAAGAAGGGGACATTAATCATCAAATGCTAAATAGGTGTACCTGAACACTGAATTTTGGCCCAACTCGTTAATCGCCTCACAATAAACCACGTCAACTGAGTTTTTGAGAACGGTTGAGGGGACATCAAGCTCATATACAGCTCGATCTGAGGCTGGCCTCGTCACACGCAGTACATAGCTCGAATTGTTGTCCATCCGGGCTTCTGGAAGTATATCGTCTGCATAGATCATTATAGTGACGTTACTTCCTGTTGCAGCACACGTGACAAGTGCCGTCTCGTTATCGTGATCTTTCACTTTTACACTTGTCGTGTTCTCGTCGATGGCAGGATAACCGCCTACTAAAAGCGTCACATTGCGCTCAGACGTTTCGCCACGAATAGATCGGACTTGGCAAATGTACTCTCCAGCCGCGGAGGTGGGGACGTCTCCGATGTAATCTAGATACGCCATTGCCCAAAAGCCGTTAGGATCTATTTGCGATCTGAACCGGAAATCTCCAGGTCTTTTAGCCATTTTTAAGTCACGATCATAAATAGCTATGCTTTGAATGTCACCACCCTGAAAACTGCATGGTATGGAACATTTAGCTACAGACCAACGTTTGGCGTAGGGATTTGTATTGCATGCAACCTTCTCCAGGCTGGTGAACGAGAACGTACCATCTGGAAAAAGCGAACTTTGATTTTCCCCATTAACATAAATGGGAATTTGAGCGCTGACATATCGCAATAGCGTATCGCCAGAATTGTTGTAGTAGCTGCGCTCTAGATAAATTACGCCGCTATCGGAATCGGACGTCGGGTGTACAGTAAGGCGTAATCTGAACTCTCTCTCTTGTGTCTCGTTCCCTGCAGAAAGAGTGTCTTCTATATCGTTTATGCGATCATCAAGGAGAACTTCTTCGACTGTCAGCATACTACGGTTTCCACTTTTCGGCTCATGTATGCTCATACTGTATTCCCCTTCACCAACCCCAGACCCATAAATACGCCAGTACGATACTGACATGTTTTTCATTTCGCTGTCATATGCCCGAAGAGTGATGTAAAATTGTATAGACTCTGAACTCAAAATCTTTACTTCAAAGGATGTTTCTCCTGCTATAGTTGATCCTTCCAAAGTTGAGTAAAATTGTGGAATTCTTATGTTCTCATGCCAGGTCATGGGAATATTTGTTTTGTTTTTCAAATTTTTCCCACAGACATCAACAGAAGTAAGGACTGTAGTGGGCAAACTTTGTCCCACTTCCATGAACGCAAAACCCACGTGCTGCGTATCATAATCTTGCATTTCTCCACACCATTTGGTCTTGATTCGAAACCTCGCTTTCGAAATCTTAGGGACATTGCCACCTTTTCGGAGTTTCAGGAATTGAGGGTTGAGTTTCCCAAAGTCAAATTTTTCGATGAAAGGGCTTACATAGGCGTCAACATGATGTTTAACAGTGAAAATAATGACAACACGATCCGACCTAAATATAGTTTCCACAGACAAAGGAAGCACTGGGAGATTCGATGTGAACCAGCCTGGTATTTCTTTAAGCATCAGTCTTTCGTCTCGGTCGGTCTTCTCCATACTTAGAGGAGGTTTCGTTGTTTTTCTGAATGTTGGTGGCACAGAGAGGGAAGAGGCCTCACCCTGGAGATTGTCACAAAAAGCGTGAAAAGAACTGACCAGCTGACCAATATCGTCTCTTTTGGCCGAGCGCCTGCTCCTAGCATGTACAGCAGTGTCAGGGCGAAGAATGAGCAGTTGGTCGTTCAGTTCCCCGAGACTGCGCTGAAGACCCTCGAAATAGAATTCTGTGACCTGAAAGTTCAACAAATATAATAATTATGTAAACATTACTGTACAAGACTTTACAAGTGGTTGGAGAGCGATACTTTTAGGTTTTGCTTTTTTCCCCTTCTGTTAAACATTTCTGCCTGTGTATCCTCATTGTTTAAAAAAAAATAAATCTTATGGAGTTGGACGTGTTCTCTATAGCTACTCTTTACTCATGGTAAACTGTAATTACCAGGATTTTAAGGGCCAATTTCTTGCTTGCATTTTGTTTTAGAGTCGGAGATGAGAGAGAGTATTAAATGAAACCTTTTAGCTTTTAAGGAAACTTGTAACTACTTGGTAGCGCAAAAAAAAAAAATGGAGGCTTAAACATTTTGTGGTTGTTTAATACATAAGATCAACCATTTTCTTTTCCCTCGAAGAAATAAATATAAATACGACTAGAGCTCACTTCGAGGACTCATGGAATCATTAAGCTTGGGCCTCAGAATGGGGGAAGGGGTATCAACAACCATTTGTCTCAAACACCAGTCCCTTTCTGCTCCTCAGTTTAACACCCTCCTCCGCCCCCCCCTTATGTTCGGGGCGGGGGGGGGGGGGGGGGGGTGCTTGACAATTGATGCTATTATTTTGCACTTTTTCCAAATAGTCTCGTTTTCCCGCTTCTGCTTCAGCTGTGTCCAGATCACGACATACATTTCTCACTGCACATCACAGGACGTTTCGTCAAATCCCTGTTTATAGTGCGGTCAAAAATTCGTGATGCAAATTTTGCTCCAATATCTCTTTATTGGGTGAATCAATGTCACCCACATTTTGCACAACAAAAGTTTGTATCAATTTGCCTTAACTTAATCATATTATTTCCACAACAATTTAGGCTAGATTTTTATTTTTTTATTTTTTCATAACTTTAAACAAAATACTATAGATCTACTATCAGTCTCCGCAACGCGAAAAATGGGATAGTTCACAGCACTTCACGCTTCTCATACACATTACACGTAATATATGGCCTGCGTCACAGCTCACCAATGTCACTTTTTAGAGGGCGAAACTTGTTACAAGAAATTAATTTTATAGTGAACACTTTTTTTATCTACAGGTTCTCAAAATATGTGCACAATAAGCATAATGCCGCGGTTACTTTAAAAAAAACCCCAGCCAAATAAAAAAAACAACCCAACAAAACACGACAGACTGGCTATATTCAAAGCCTTGTGAAATATATGGATTCAAATGTAAAGTAATAAAGTTTTTTAAAATTATAATTTTGTGTAACAAAGAAGTATATGTCTAAAAGCCTATACTATACCAAACATAACGAATGTAATCTCTACATATCATATTTGTGAAAATCCGTCACTTTGACCGCCTAAAACTTCCGAATCACTCAACTTTTGAATTTGGCAAAATTAATGGTGGTTCAGAATCATTCAAAGGGTGCACAGTTTTATTGGGGAGCCTGGAGTCACTGTTGTTTAATTTTCAGTTTTTCATTAGTTTCTTTTGGATCCACAGAATTCTACACTTATAGAAGCGGAACTCCCTCTTCGCGATCGCCGATTCGCTGTGAGGAATTGAAACTAAAACATGGCGGCCAGTTGAGGGCACCTTTGGCTGCGCCGCACAGCGAGGCTTCGCGTTGCTATGCACGCTGATGCTAGTGGTAGGGCTTGGAAGACACCTTACATTAAGTTACATCAGTATTTTAAAACTTTCTTCGAAGAGGAAATATAGTGAAATAGTCTAGTACATTTTTACTGCCAACAATATGTCATAATTGGCAATGTTACAATGTTTTTGTATCTGTATTGTTGGTTTGTTGTTGTTTTTTTAATGATGGGATGGGATGGGATCTAGATCTAGATAGATCTAGATCTCTAGATCTACTAAAAGATCTAGATCTACTAAAGATCTTCACAATCACAATACACTTGATAATAACACTAATTATGAACATTAACTCTGTTGGAAAAGTATCTAGATATAGTCTTGATTAGTACTAGATCTAGATCTACGATTGGAGAATGTGTCGGTTGCACATAAAATACATAGGCCTATTGTACATGCTGCCAAAAACACAAAAATGCAGAAAAGGCCTCTAAATATTGTTTTACACATAAAAGCCAATAATGCAAAACAAAGTAAACAAGAGTGGAACTGGCATATGTTTCCTGAATATATGTTCAAAGTCATTTTCTGTGTGTTGGGAGTGTGATTTCTAATGCATGAATGAGAGGCTCATTCAGATGTGATAATGAAGAAACTTGTGTCTACAGTCACAACAGAAAGAGTTCCATGGCGAGTGATCACTGGTCAAGGATTTCAGAGCTGTGTGCATTTTGAGAAAAATGTATCCCCATACTCTGGATCACATGTCGAGGGGATGGGCTTGTCCCCCTGTAATCCCCGCACACAGTAAACAAACACATATTTTGGAACACGAACAAGAAAAAATAAGTGGTCTCTTGTTACGGATCAAATTGAAGTCCTGTTTCAATTCGATTAATTGATAAAAGTGCGTATCGCAATGCGTTGGCCACCCCTGCCCTATAGGCCTATATGCTATTTAATAAATACATTCGTCAGACCTGGAATCTTTAATGCCCGCACACAGTAAACAAACACACATTTTTAAACACGCAAGGCATCGGCTAACCCAGCACTATTACGCTATTTTATAAATACATTCGTCAGATCTGGAATCTTTAATCTTTAATTTTTAATCCCCGCACACAGTAAACAAACACACATTCATGAACACGTATAAAAAAATAAGTGGTCTCTTGTTACGGATCAAATTGAAGTCTTGTTACAATTCGATCAATTGATAAAAGTGCGTATCGCAATGCGTTGGCCACCCCTGCCCTATAGGCCTATATGCTATTTAATAAATACATTCGTCAGACCTGGAATCTTTAATGCCCGCACACAGTAAACAAACACACATTTTTAAACACGCAAGGCATCGGCTAACCCAGCACTATTACGCTATTTTATAAATACATTCGTCAGATCTGGAATCTTTAATCTTTAATTTTTAATCCCCGCACACAGTAAACAAACACACATTCATGAACACGTATAAAAAAATAAGTGGTCTCTTGTTACGGATCAAATTGAAGTCTTGTTACAATTCGATCAATTGATAATAGTGCGCATTGCAATGCATTGGCTAACTCAGCATTATACGCTATTTAATAATACATTCGTCAGATTTGGAATCTTAAATTATAATCATAATTATATGTGCCGCGCGTGGGAAGTAAAAGTGAAAGGAATTGAAAATGCTTTCAAAAACAAAAACATAATTAAAGTAGGACTACATGTGCTTATAAAGGCTCAAAAAGGTGTATGGATGCGGAAATTAATGTTTCGGATGAAAATAATACGCTATCTTCACTACTGTAGCATGCGGTCAAAAATTTGATACGCAACTTATTATCAAATATCTAGGCTACTGAACTATCAAACACCTAGATCTAGATTCTCCTACTTTTACACAATGACTTAGATCTATATCAATTCGTCTTAACCAATGAGTATTTTTTTCAAACATTTGTACACATCTATAGGTTCTATATTATTCTAGAAATTTCTTTAAAGAAAATTCTTTAATAAATACTAGCCCAATATATAAAAAAAAAATCCCAGTCAATGGTTTCTACAGATTTTTAAAAAGTTTATAGCTGGAGCTAAATCTCTTTTAAAAGCAAGTCCGTCCTTTTTTCTACTTCTGCTGGCGACATAAAGTTAATTATTGAACGCATGTTTTGAGAACATTAATAAGATCTAGTGAAAAAATATGTTCAGTGTAAAACAAATTTATTGTAATAAGTTTTACTACTAAAAAACTACGTAGGCCATATGCGTATGCAAAATGTGTGTTGGAAGCTAGAAGTGCTATGAATTTTTTTCAGTTCTGTAGATCTTATATATATCTATATAAACTCTGTATGTCTGCTTTTTCTGTTGTTGCACTCCAAAACACAACAATTTAAAACCTTAATTCCAATCTCTAGTTGCACAGTGAATTCTGTAACTCAAAATTACAAACTGGACAGTAAATGTTCCACTTTTCACTCGTTTGTAAAAGCCGCTCTTGCTTTAAAAGCTATAGGGTTACTTCCGAAAACGATAAATAGTGCCCTCACGACGCCATTGTTTTCGGTCTTCAATTCCTCACAGGTCACGTGGTACAGTTCCCGTTCTATAAGTGTAGAATTCTGTGTTTGGATCTAATCTTGGGAAAGTCCATCTTCTAAGACGCCAGTGTAAACAAGTGAGATTTCCGTTCGCTAGCCGTGCGCACCGATTCCATACCTTTGAAAGTCTCTAGAGTACAAACACGAAAGCGGAATAGAGAATCAATATATAAATTTATTATATTGATATATTTGGAAAATTGGAAACACATGTGTCCCTCTTTCCATAAAACTACGACAGCTGCAGAGTTGAAATTTGGCAAGTACCTGCAAAAAGATAGAAAAGATAGATAGGTCCTCATGCATGACGGAGCCTGATTTTTTATTTATTCATTTCCTGAATTTAGAAAAATATATCTGACAAAAGTTTCCGTGCTTCTTTCGCCTTTGTGATTATTCCACTGAGAAACGAAACAAATTTGCGTAGCTGTCCTTCTCAGCGGAAGTGCCGGAAGTGATATTTCGCGAGGCGCATTTTGCTTTGAGAGTATAGATCTAGACCTTCTAATTTTTTGCATCTCTCAAGATTTATTGCTTCATTCCAGAAGAGTGCTAATATAGTAGGCCAATTATTTTTAGTTGATGTTAATGTACCGAACATTCCTTTCACCGAAAGGGGGGCCAATTAGTATATTATATGTGTGTAATAATACATACTGGAATATTTGTAAAGGTGTACAAACAGTAAAAACATGTTTACACTCTGGCTACCGGTAACTTGATTTTAAGATTTAAATCTAATCCGTTTAACTACATGTATTTGCAAGAACGAAGTTAAAATGGGAAAAAAAAAACATATCGATCTACTTTTTATTT